TAAACACATATGTATCGTATTCGATTAGGATGAATTCATAATGTGATTTAATCTCATATTTCTAAGTATTAAATTAACTAATAACTAGTGGAGCGCATGGCATCGTGCCTTAAGCCAAATTGCTGGAACTTCCCGTACCAAATTTTATTTTAAAAAAAAAAAAAAAATTTTTAGAAAAAAAAATAACATTTTTGAAAAAAAATAGATTTTTGAGAAACTATAAATTTCTAGAACACACATACACACACGCATACACACACATACACACATACATCTATTTTTTCTAAGGTATGCTAAAATATTCAGAAATCTCTGAAACGTAAAGATACATAAAAATTTTCATTTTCGGGATAAGATAATAAAATGCTGCAGTTTAACATAACAATTATTGATTTTTAATCAACTTTATTGGATACTTAATTTCTTATAAAAATATTAAAAAGGTTATGAAAAGTTTAGTAGAAGTATTATGTAAATTTAATATTTTGAAATTTCAAAAATTTTGATTTGTTCACAGATTTTGTTATTTTTTAACATTTTTGAGTATTTTTGCAAATTTTAGATAAAATTACGAAAATTAGAAAAAAAAATGCATATTAGAATTCTTCGGAAATTTAATTATTTTAAAATTACTGAACTGTGTTTCCCAAAAACTAAAAGTTTTTCACATCGCTATATATACACAATTATTCACAAAATAAAAACTGAACGCTTCCAAAGTCGAGGTACATAAATCAAGTACAGAATCTAGTGGTGTCTGGCATCGTGCCTTAAGGCAAATTGCTGGAACTTCCGGTACCGTAATGAAATATTCGAGAAATTTTAAACGTTTTCAAATATATTATTACAAAGACTGTAACTTTCATTATTTTTGCCATCTTGTTATATCTGAGCAAATCAAATGTAAATCATAAATCATAAATCAATTTATCTCCAGAACATTAACAATCGTCATTTCATTTCGAATTCAATTTAAAAAAAAAAAAAAAATTTGCCTAAAATTGAAAAAAGCTCCCGTATAGTCACAGTCTAAACGCATTTGCGAATAATTATGTGTGACATTTTCACTTATACTGTGCTTAGCTTGGCGGCATTTTCACATTTTTCAATAGTTTTCACAAAATTGGAAAAGTGCTCCAGTGCATAAACAGTCTAAACGCACTTGGGTAAACATTTGTACCAGAGTGGCGCTTAGACTGTGGTTAGCCTGGGTAACTTTTTTAATTTTTAATCCAAAATTACAAAAATATATGAAAAAAAAAATTAGAAACAAATTTTTTTTTCAAAAGCAATTATTTTGTTGAAACAAGCAGAAAGTTCTTTGAATCATTTAAATCGCGGACGCTTAGTTCTCTCAAAAACTACCATTTTTTTAACATTTAGCTCTGTATCTCCGAAACCGCTGGGCCTACCTTTTGCCAAAAACTAATAACCAGTTTACCCCGTCCTACAATCATACAAATCGAATGATCCGTTCTCTCAAATACTTGATTTCTATTTTCTGCACTCTTTGCTCGATATCTCCGTAACGGCTGAACCTGCCTTTGCCAAAAACTAATCAGCACATCTCCCTATTAATAGAAATCGAATGTTTTACCATCGAAACCATTAAAATTGGTTGATCCGTGCGTCCGAAAACGTGGACGAAAAAATGCGGACATACAAAACACACACACACACACATCCATTTAGTTTCTGAGGTATGCCAGTAAAATGTTCAGAAACCTTCAAAACGTCGAGAAATGCAATAGATATATCCTGGTGACGTTTGTTTTCCATGTATCACAATTCCTAACAAGACAAGAACACTCAATTTATCTTGAATAAGATTAGTCGTGCATCGGATAACACGGACCTTCTGAACCATATTTTAGCGATTCAATATAAAATTTTTACTCTGACGATGAGACAAACCGAGTCTCGAAACTTGTAAAGAATTTATATAATCAAAAGTATTTTTTTTAGGTGAAAGGCGAAGCTTTGTCCATTATTTGCGAAGCAATGGACTACGTGGCCTCATTCACCGACTGCTACGCCCACTACGGCGTAGACGAGTACCTCTACGCCTTCGGCTTGAGCGTGGACCCGCGTTATAGAGGAATGGGCATCGGGATGGAAATATTGAAAGCCAGGAACGATTTAGGGTTGAAGGTAAGTGAAAAAAAAACTAGGAGTAAGTGACATTTGCCTTAATAAAATCTGCACAAACTTCCCTAAATAGATAGTAATAACCAGAAGACCATTTTTAGTTATTGGACAAAATTGTTAGTCACATTTTTCTTATGTCAAATGTAATGTAATATATTGTAATTCAAATGTCCCGCCATTAATATTAGTGATGTTGGCAATAGTGTTCCCCTACTATAACTAGGTATCCGCCATCTTATATTTATGTTTATGTTAAAACTATGTAAAATAACTCTCTTCTTGCTGAATCGCGATGCAAGTAACATTTAAAATAAACTGAGTAATTTAGAGAAAGCATTTTTATTTTACCAGTTATTAAACAATTTTATATCTCACAACCATGCATCGTTTCGGGTCTACGACTAACGTAGCATTCATCTTTATAATAATCTTGTATTTACCATCTTATCTTATTTTTTACTAGGTTGGTTTAAAAGCTACAGTAACAACCTTTACTGCAATAGCTTCCCAAAAACTAGCCGAAAGATGTGGATACGAAGTTTTAGTCGAGAAGACATATGAAGAAATCGAAAAACACAACCCCAGATTCAAATTTCCAGGAATACAGACAAAATCTATGAAAATAATGGGCAGGAAACTGGATGTACATTTACCATAATAGAAATACATGTATAGTCTATATTTGTATTTGAATTAATTATATTTACAACTGCATGTGATTTATTAAATATATATTTTACGACCTAGGCTTGTCTATTATTTTACATAATTTAGATTTATAGAAACCTATACAATACTATTTAGTTATATTTTGAAACCTAACAAATATTGTCAGATTTCTATGTACATTTTAATGAGATTTAAGCGAATCACGAGATTCAATTTGAAATCCAAAAATATGGAGAAGATTAAAATTTACTTAAGAAATATCACTGATAAACTTTCAGTCCCACTTTTTTTGGCAAAAGAAGTAATGCCTAAATAACTTTCGCCTCAGATAAAGAAACGTATTTGGTTTATATAACAGAACATCTTATTCATAATTACAACTTAATCACTATTTATATATATATATATATATATATATATATATATATATATATATATTAGGTTGTCAAATATCTCCCTTCCGCCTTTTTGTATTATAAACCAATAGCAAAAAAGCGGAAGGGAGATATTTGACAACCTAATATATATATATATATATATATATATATATATATATATATATATATATATATATATACACCTAAGTCTGTTTTTACACGGTCTTTTTGTACACGGTTTTGATATAACACAGTTTGAAAATTAAATATTTTTAATTTTTTTACACGATTTTATTCCATTTAGCACTATTTGAAATTTTATGTACTTAATTTTTTTTTGTCAAATTTAATTTTTGCGAAGTATGTTGATATCACAAAAAAGTATTTATGAAAGAAAAAAGTCTGAAACCATCGACAGTATCGATAGTTTGCGAACACTAGCTTAAAGATTTAAGTGAATTCCCCTTGAGCGCGTACAAACAATTTTTACAGGTCAAAGCAAAGGTGAATAGCACTAATTTAGAGGAATTATTATTAAAATTAACATGAATTATTGTTCTTGAAAATTTTTGTTTTTCACTAATTTTAATAGGTTTTAGAGATTAGGAACAAATCACCCATTTTTCTATAAGATCAATGTCTTTTTTACACGGCTTTTTCTGGAACCAATCTACCGTGTAAAAACAGACTTAGGTGTATGTATATACGAGGTGTGTTCAAAAAGTACCCGGAATTACTAATAATTAAATTTCGCGGGTCTGGAGTGTCTGATTGTCAAAAATTTTTTTTTATTGTGTTGGTATACATGCCCCTAAAGTATGATGAAATTTTCAGCTATATTCACTGTTTACTTTGTCTGTGGTAGTCGCTAAGGTTCGACGTGTTTTTCTGAGCTCGGCGATTTTTACAATGGAAGAATTGAAAAAGTCAAAGAATTTGTATTAAATTTTGCGTAAAAAATGAAATAAAGTGTTGCAAAGTGCAAAAATTCACCAGATATGGCTCCGTGTGACTTTTTCCTATTCCCAAAGTTGAAGAGACCCATGAAAGGACGGCGGTTTTCCTCGATTGAAGAAAATCGCCGAGAGTGCTCAAGGACATATCAAAAAGTGAATATCAAGGGTGCTTCGAAAATTGGAAAAAACGCTGGCATAAGTGTATTATATCTGGGGGGGACTACTTTGAAGGGGACCACATTAATGTAGACGAATAAATAAATATTTTTTTGAAAAAACGAAAATTACGAAAACTTTTTGAACAGACCTCGTATATATATATATATTCAATAGATAAGTCCTGGATTTTTTCAAATATTGATTGTTTCTTTTCCGAACAGTAAATCCAATAATAAAAAACAATTTGTTTTTAGAAGATGTTTAATACGACGTTTCGGAACTAGGTACGTTCCATCATCAGGTTTATTCTGTAATAATTTATATATCCATATCACTAATATTTTTTTGTTAAAAACACTCGATTTTTTGGAAGATATTTTTAGATGTTACGACTACACAAGACTTAAACACACTGAGTGTTCAGTGTGTTTAAGTCTTGTGTAGTCGTAACATCTAAAAATATCTTCCAAAAAAATCGAGTGTTTTTACACAAAAATATTAGTGATATGGATATATAAATTATTACAGAATAAACCTGATGATGGAACGTACCTAGTTCCGAAACGTCGTATTAAACATCTTCAAAAAACAAATTGTTCTTTATTATTGGATTTACTGTTCGGAAAAGAAACAATCAATATATATATATATATATATATATATATCCTTCATAAAAAATTCCTTCCTCCTACCTTAAATAAAACATAAATGCACATTATCCCATGAACAACATTTATCTTCAATATTATTATTTACATTGCAGAAAGTTCTTCTTTACTTAAAACTTGGACACTTTCAACTGGCATTGTGTGTGTTGCAATGTGTGCTGTTAAGGCTGATCCTTGGGTGAATGATTTGTTGCAAGTTGTACAGACGAAAGGCTTTTCACCGGTGTGTAACCTCATATGAACCTAGAGAAAAAAGAAATACATATATATATATATATATATATATATATATATATATATATATCTTCTTATATATAAAAATGGAGCTCTCGATCAAATAATTCGGTAAAACTCGAAAACGGCTAAACCGATTTGGCTAGTCTTAGTCTTGAAAAATTCGTGCCAATCCAGAGATGGTCGGAAAGGTGAGAATATTTCAAAATCGCGTAGAAACTTTACATTTTTAATTTGAAATTTTTGGTAGAAGCGTAATTTAAATAAAACAATGGACGGCGGCTAATACGTCAAATATCAAACGTTTTTGACAGATGATGTTCAATTACTTTTAATAGAAAGTTTTACGTGAATATTATTTAATTATGATTAAGTTGTAGTAAGTAGTTCTGTTTGTAGTTTTATTTATACACAAAAACGTTAGTAAAGAAAAATTATAAAAATATAAATTCAAATATGTTTTTAACAGAAGAAACTAAAAAATGCAATACACACTTGCATACTCTATTTTTATTAGTTGCGAAACGACGGTTGGATATGATATGAGAAGCACGTTTGAAAAATGTTTTAAAAACATACAATATTATACTAGAGCTATAAAATTTTAGTATTTTATTATCTAATATATGTACTCAATTATAAAAATATAAAATCACATATGTTTCTAACAAAAAAAGCTATAAATGTGCAATATTGTAAACAAATGCACTCTTGCATATCTAGTTTCCAATAGTTGCAAAATCCACGTTTGATGAGTATTTTGAAAAATATTTAAAAATATAAAACGTTATACTAGAGTTACAAAATTTTAGTATGTTATTTCTTAATATGTGTACAAAATTATAAAAATATAAAATCATACATGTTTCTTACAAAAAAAGCTATCAATTTGCAATTCAGTAAAATCATGTAATAGGGTCGCAAGTGTTACTAAAAACTCAACAATATCAACTTTTTTGAAATGTTAATATGAAAATACACTTTTTGGCATATTTTTCTCAAACACGGTGTTCTGAAAGATTTAATTTGTATAATTATATACTCATTGGTATTCATAAAACTTTTTCTAGATTATATTATTTTTTACTTATGTTATTTAAATTCAGAACCTAAATTTGGTATCGATCAAAGGGACATTTTGTCGAATAACATTTTCCCAGTTATAATCTCCCAGAATTTATTGAAGAATAGATAGAAATATATGAAAGTCCGGGGTTAAAAACGTCCACCACCAATGTGTCAAAAATCAGTAAAGTTAAGCATTGATTAACAACAATATTTGAAAGTAGAGGGAAAAATAAGTATAACCAGCTATAACCTTGATTCTCTAGACTTTGCTACCGGGAGATAAATGGTAATCTTTGAAAATCCATAATAAAAGTATTTTCTTCCGTTGGTAGTTTTAGCATTAGTTAAAAATGTAATTATTTTGTAAAATACCTTTAAAATTATAATAAGGCTTTAAACCTGTTTGTCACCTGGCCGTTCCAAGTTACTCCGTCTATAGGGTAAAAAGGTCTAGATAACAAATTTTTGAAAGACATCAAAAAAGCACAATTCTACAATGATGAAGAAGCTGACAGTTTTACTGAACGTAGTCAGATAATTGTTTGTTTGAAATGTGTTATTTATTGTGATATAATTGTTTTGGTTTTCACAATATAATTAATATTTGCCTCCTTGCCCTGCTCTACATATATACTTTTTATAAAATTTACTTTAATTTATCGAATGTTACTTGAAACTTTTCAAAAAGCAGGTCAAAGAAGAAATACTTAATTCATGTTCTATCTCTCCTCGCAGAAATTTGAAAATTTTGTATAAGCTCAGTAGTATTATTTACAATTATACACAAAATCCTGAATCAAAAAGAATCTGAAACACTTGAAACGTAATCAATAAATCGAAATACCAAAAAAGACTCGGATTGAATTATACCATGTTTTCTATAGAAAGTGTATAAAACTTGCAGTTTGATTGTATTGACAAAATATAGACAAACTAATGGGGTTTATTGTTATTATAATACCTCATTGTATATAGCATTCAAACAACACATCCTTATACACTTAAAGTATTAATATTTTTGATTCTCTAGAAATTGTTTAGAATATACCTTACTTAGCAAAACAACGTTTGGCGGGTCAGCTAGTATATATATATATATATATATATATATTATGTTGAAAATGTTTAAATTTAATGTTGAAATGTATGATTGATTTCTTGGAGGGCGTAACATCAAGTAAAAAATAAGTAAAGAAAATATTTTTTTCAAAACATCTTTATTTTTCCATACGTTTCGACGTAAAATTCTACGTCATCTTCAGTGGTTCTACAATTTAAAAAAAGAAAAAAAACAGAAAGTAACGTTACAAATTGAATATACATAAGCAATAGTAAAAGAAAAGTTTTAACTAAAGAGAATTGCAAAAAACATTACTTACTTGAATTATTTATATTATCACTAACACATATTAATATCTAGCTTGTCTCTAATTATTAATTTTTACAAGTTATATTAATATGTGTTAGTGATAATATAAATAATTCAAGTATGTAATGTTTTATGCAATTCTCTTTAGTTAAAACTTTTCTTTTTACTATTGCTTATGTATATTCAATTTGCAACGTTACTTTCTGTTTTTTTTTTCTTTTTTTAAATTGTAGAACCACTGACGATGACGTAGAATTTTACGTCGAAACGTATGGAAAAATAAAGATGTTTTGAAAAAAATCTTTTCTTTACTTATTTTTTACTTGATGTTACGCCCTCCAAGAAATCAATCATATATATATTATATATTTATTTTACCTTAAGACTGCTGCTTCCTACAAATCTCTTGTTGCAAACAGTACAAGCATGAGGCTTAACTCCCGTGTGTGATCTCATGTGACCAGAAAGATGGCTCGAACTCGTAAAGGCTGAAACCAAAGTAAAATTAAAATCGTGCAAATCATTTTCGTAACAAAACAATAATAATTATCTATCTATCTACCTCTATTACAGATAGTACACTTGTGCGGCTTTTCCCCCGTGTGACTTCTCTGATGTATCGTCAGAGTCTCCTGCCTAGAGAATGCTTTTCCGCACATGTTACAAGCGAACGGGCGCTCCCCAGTGTGTGTTCGCATATGAATGACTAAAGAATTGGCCCCCGAGAAGGCTTTTCCGCACACATTGCAGACATAAGGGCGCTCCCCTGTGTGAGTCCTCATGTGCACGGGGATGTAACCGGATTGTGTGAAACCTTTGCCGCAGACCGGACAGAGGTAAGGTTTTTCACCTGTGTGGACACGGAGGTGCTTTTCGAGGTTGCATAGTTGGGTGAAACCTGGGGAAAAAGATAATGATTGATTGGAAAATAATACATTTATTAACTTCCCGAAGGAGAATTTTATGTTTTCATCAAAAAATCCGATTCGTTAATTTTATGTTTTCTCGACGTTTCAAGCCATTCTGAATCGAATGAGACCAAATTTGGAAAAAGTATGTGTGTGTGTGTGTGTGTGTGTGTGTGTGAACAGATTTTTTGCCGTAAATTAACGTTTTCTCAAAAACGGATGGACCGATTTCAAAAATTTAAAAGCCATTCGATGTATCTCGATGAGGACTATTGTTTGTCAGTTTTGTGCGACGATCGGCCAAGCCGTTTCTTCGTAAATAGCAGAAAAGTGAAAACTTTTCGTCCACGTTTTAGCCCGCAATTCTGAATCGATTTTGAAAATTCAAAAATCGTTCGAAAGATATTGGTTGGCGACCTGATTAGTTTGTGGTAGAGATCGGCCGGGCCGTTTTCTTGTAATAAAGTTTTAAAAAAAAAAAATTTCATCGATTTTTATTGTTATTTTTTTTGACGGTAGATACCATAGTTTTCTAGGTCATACTAAAATATTACGGCCCTACGACAACTCATTTAGCTTTAAAAATTCGTCAAAGTTTGCAAAAATTGGTATAGTTTTATTGACATTTGTCAAAATTAGAACTTTCATCGACGTTTGCTCAAAAACGCCTGAACCGATTTCAGAAATTTAAAAACCATTTGATGTATCTCGATGAGGATTATTGTTTCTCAGTTTTGTGCGACGATCTGCCAAGCCGTTTCTTTATAATTTGAAAAAAAGTGTTAAACATTTCGTCCACATTTAAGCTCATCCTACCGAACCGATTTTAAAAAATCAAAAACTGTTCGAAAGATATTAGTTGGGAATGATACTGATTAGTTTTAGGTGAAAATCTACCGAGCCGTTTTCTTGTAATTAACTGTTGGAAAAAAAATTTAAGCCGATTTTTATGGATTTTTTTTTTTAGTGATATATACCATGGTCTTATAGAACTTACTGAAATATTACGGCCTTATAACAAATTATTTGATTTTAAAAATTCATCAAAGTTTGAGAAAATGAGTAGTTCTTTTGAGATTTGTTAAAATTAAAATTAGATGATTTACTTGGTATAATGATAGAGTACTTGGTCTTGAACATAATAAACTATTAAAGTCCTGAAAACTGGTTCAATTATATAAAATTTGCTTTTAGAAAATACTCCGAGTCAAAGTGTTCGTTCGTTTCAATTATGTGTAATAAATCCACTCGGAATACTTATAATCACTCATAAATTAATTTATTTTTTATTGATTAAGTCGATTATTTACACATATTGGGAAGTTCATGTAACTTGCCTCAAGGCTAAATACCAAACCAACTAGTTTTGGAAGTCATACTTGTAATGGATTAAAAGTCTGGCCGAGCAGAAATGTTATGTTTATTGAAGTAAAACTTCTAATGCGACTGAGCAGTAGAAAAGCGACCAAGCGAGAACTGCCCAAAAACATTATAGATAGTCTGAAATTGTTCTGGATGATTTGAAAATGCTCTAATGTGAAAATATGTTAGATAATGTGAAGATTTTTTAGATAGTCTGAATTGGTCAGAAATTAATCTAGATAGTCTAAACGTGTTCTAGATAGTCGGAAAATGTTCTGGATATCCTGAAAATGTTCTAGATAGTGTGGATTTTTTTTAGATATTCTGAGACGGTCAAAAATTGTTCTAAGTAGTTCGCAAGTGTTCTAAATAGTCCGCAATTGATCTAGTTTGAAAATCTTTTCGTTCGTCTGAAAATGTTCTAGATGGTCGGAAAATGTTCTGAATAGCTGAAAATGCTCGAGATAGTGTGAAAGTGTTCTAGATAGTGTGGATTTTTTTTAGATAGTCTGCGATGGTCAGAAGTTGTTCTAACTAGTTTGAAAGTGTTCTAGATAGTCCGCAAATGTTTTAAATAGCCTGAAAATGTTCCAGATAGTCTGAAACTGCTCTAGATAATGTAAAAATATTCTAGATCTTTTTTCAGATAGTCCGAATTGTTCTATTTAATCTAAATCTGATCATCTAAAAATGTACTAAATACACCTGAAAATCTTTTGGTTAGTCCGAAAATGTTCTAGATAGTCGGAAAACGTTCTAAATGGTATAAAAATATTCTAGATTGTCTAAAAATGGTCTAGATAGTCTAAACATGTTCTAGATGGTATAAAAATGTTCTACATAGCCTATTTTAGATGGTCAAGGTAGGTTGAAAATCTTCTAAATTATATAAAAACGTTAGAACTATATAAAAACGTTAGAACTATATAGAATTATATAAAAACATAGAAAGTCTTAAAATATTGAAGATAGTCTGAAAAAGCTCTAGATAGTCTGCAAATGTTCTAGATGATATAAAAAGGTTCTAAATGGACTGAAAACGTTCTAGGTAGTTTACAAGCCTTCTAAATGGTATAAAACCGTTCTAGATAATCTGAAAATATTCAAGATAGTTTTAAAAAAAGTTCTATATAGTCTGCTAGAGTTCTAGATGGTATAAAAATGTTCTAGTTAGTCTGAAAACGTTCTAAATAACCTGAAAACATTCTAAATAATCTGAAAACGTTCTAATTAGCTTGAAAACGTTCTAAATAGCCTGAAAACGTGCTAGATAGCCTGAATACGTTCGAAATAAGCTGAAAACGTTCTAAATAGCCTGAAAACGTTCTAAATAGCCTGAAAATGTTCTGGATAATCTAAAAATGTTCTAGATCGTAGAAAATTGTTGAAGATGGTATAGAAAATATTCTAAATAGTATTAAAATATTCTAGATAATCTAAAAACATTCTAGTTAGCCTGAAAACGTTCTAGATAGCCTGAAAATGTTGTAAGTAGTCTGAAAATGTTCTTGATAGCCAGGGAATGTTCTAGGTAATCTAAAAATATTCTAGTTAGTATAAAAATATTCTAGAGAGTCTGAAAATATTCTAGATGGTATAAAAATGTTCTAATTAGTCTGAAAATGTTCTAGATATTTTTAAAACGGTCTAAATAGCCTAAAAACGTTCTAAATAGCCTGAAAACGTTCTGAATAACATGAAACGTTCGAAATAGCCTTAAAACGTTCTGAATAACCTGAAACGTTCTGAATAGCCTGAAAATGTTCTGGATAATCTAAAAATGTTCTAGATAGTAGAAAATTGTTGAAGATGGTATAGAAATGTTCAAGAAGGTATAGAAATGCCCTAAATATTCTGAAAATATTCTAGATAGTATCAAAATATTTTAAATAATCTAAAAACGTTCTAGTTAGTATGGAAGAAAATGTTCTAGAGAGTCTTAAAATATCCTAGATGGTATAAAAATGTTCTAATTAGTCTGAAAATGTTCTTGATAGCCAGGGAATGTTCTAGGTAATCTAAAAATATTCTAGTTAGTATAAAAATGTTCTAGAGAGTCTGAAAATATCCTAGATGGTACAAAAATGTTTTAATTAGTCTGAAAATGTTCTCGATAGCCAGGGAATGTTCTAGGTAATCTAAAAATATTGTAGTTAGTATAAAAATGTTCTAGAGAGTCGGAAAATATCCTAGATGGTATAAAAATGTCCTAATTAGTCTGAAAATGTTCTTGATAGCCAGCCAGGGAATATTCTAGGTAATCTAAAAATATTCAAGTTAGTATAAAAATGTTCTAGAGAGTCGGAAAATATCCTAGATGGTATAAAAATGTGCTAATTAGTCTGAAAATGTTCTTGATAGCCAGGGAATGTTCTAGGTAATCTAAAAATATTCTAGTTAGTATAAAAATGTTCTAGAGAGTCTGAAAATATCCTAGATGGTATAAAAATGTCCTAATTAGTCTGAAAATGTTCTTGATAGCCAGCCAGGGAATATTCTAGGTAATCTAAAAATATTCTAGTTAGTATAAAAATGTTCTAGAGAGTCTGAAAATATCCTAGATGGTACAAAAATGTTTTAATTAGTCTGAAAATGTTCTCGATAGCCAGGGAATGTTCTAGGTAATCTAAAAATATTGTAGTTAGTATAAAAATGTTCTAGAGAGTCGGAAAATATCCTAGATGGTATAAAAATGTCCTAATTAGTCTGAAAATGTTCTTGATAGCCAGCCAGGGAATATTCTAGGTAATCTAAAAATATTCAAGTTAGTATAAAAATGTTCTAGAGAGTCGGAAAATATCCTAGATGGTATAAAAATGTGCTAATTAGTCTGAAAATGTTCTTGATAGCCAGGGAATGTTCTAGGTAATCTAAAAATATTCTAGTTAGTATAAAAATGTTCTAGAGAGTCTGAAAATATCCTAGATGGTATAAAAATGTCCTAATTAGTCTGAAAATGTTCTCGATAGCCAGGGAATGTTCTAGGTAATCTAAAAATATTCTAGTTAGTATAAAAATGTTCTAGAGAGTCTGGAAATATCCTAGATGGTATAAAAATGTTCTAATTAGTCTGAAAATGTTCTATATATTCTTAAAACGTTTGAAATAGCCTAAAAACGTTCTAAATAAGCTGAAAACGGTCTACATAGCCTAAAAACGTTCTAAATAGCCTGAAAACGTTCGAAATAACCTAAAAACGTTCTAAATAAGCTGAAAACGTTCTATATAGCCTGAAAACGTTCTAAATGTTCTTGATCGTAAAAAAATGTTCAAGATGGTATAGAAATGTTCAAGAAGGTATAGAAATGTTCAAGAAGGTATAGAAATAATAATAATAGATAATCCAAAACTGTTCTAGTTGGTTTTAAGATATTTTAGATAGTCTAAAAAGTTGGTTTAAAAATAATTTTAGATAATTTAAAAAAAATTCTAGATAGTCTAAAAACATTCTGAATAATATAAAAATGACATATCTAGTCTGCAAATGTTCTAGAATCTATATAGTCATATAACAGATAAAATATTGTATATTTATCAAAAACCATGAATTGTTATTTCAAGTCTTAAAAATAATTTTTTTTTGTACTTTACCTTTATTGCAGACGCTACAAATATAAGGCTTTTCTCCTGTATGCGACCTTATATGTATACTTAGAGACCTCGCTTCAACATATTTCTTATTGCAAATATTACATGAAAACAATTTATGTCCTGTATGGTATTTCATATGCTTCGATAGAGAACTTGCCCATTTGAAACCACGACCTGGAAAAAAACAATTTTGTAAAACTTCAGAACAGTCTCTACAAATTAATTTAAACCTGTTTATGATTACTTACCACAAGCTGAACAAAGGTGCGGTTTCCCGACAACATTCCTAAGTTCACCAGTATGTCTTTTCTTGTGTTTAGTGAGATTCGAACTTTCTGCAAAAGTCTTATGACAAATATCACAAACGTGCGGTTTGGTCTCCATGTGTATTTTTAAATGCCTTTTTAAAATCCTGGCCTCAGGAAAAACTTTGCCACAGACACCGCAAGTGTGACCTGTTTTTTCTGCAGTTTTTGGAATGTGACTCATCATATGAACCTGAATAAAAAAAAAATTCATGCAATTCTAACTAAGAGACAAACATTGGTATTTTTGTACCTTTAAGTCTGTAGGGTTGCAAAAGCCTTTCGCACATTCAGGACAATAATAATTTTTATCAGATAATATAGCTGTAACGTTATTTTCTTCTAGAGTTTCTACATTTGTTGATAAGGCTAAAGCGTCTTCTAAAGTACAATGAACATCTTGTGTGCTGTTTTCTGTAATTTCTGTGAAATGAACCGGTTTCACACTGACAATCATTTGAACATCAGCACCACTCTCTGTCGTATAAGCTAAAATAATAATAAATTATTAAACACACATTCTTAAATGTGTAATATTTATTTCCTACTTACTGAAACTTTCGCTATTCAAATCAGCATGTTGTAAAATAACATGTGTATTAGGATCAAGTTGTGCACTAAGATCAAGCCCTTCAATTTCTAATTTAACATTGCTACTAACAAGAACACCATTGTCCATAGTCTGTTGATACTCCTCGTTTTCAGGAATAGTCTCCAGGACATTTTCAGTGACTTGATCATCTTCTTGCAGTCTTTGATTTACTTCCATTTGTGCTTGCTGTTCGAGCTCATTCTGAGCTTCCACCAAACGTTTCTGGATAAAGAAAACATATAAATATAAAACAATATATGTAAGGGTAATCCATTACCTTACCTGAAAGTCTTCAGAGACATAATTCCTAATAATATTATCAGATCTTTCGCACTGCTGTTTAAAAGCAAAAGCCCGGCTGATTTGCAGTACACACTGTCGACAAATTAAGTTAGGTAAACCGTCTTCTGTTGAAACCTGGAGCAAAAAATATTTGTGAGTATAAATTTGTGTGTGCGTATTGTTTATAAAATGTACATACCTTTATATTAGCAAAAGACATTAACATTTCGTCTAAACAAGTTCCAAACAAGGGTTTCATATCTCCTTTTTCCATTAGACATGCTCTGCATATTTTCTCCAGAACCAGCGGTGCATTAATATACATATTAACGTCCATTATGTAATATAATATTAGTTTACAAATTTATATTTGTAATTATTATAATTTTCACATTTCGCTAAACAAAAAATTGTTTTTGACATTCTAACTTTGAGCTGTCAAATTATACACCCTGAAGTTAGGCAACTTAAAAATTCCAATATGACAACCCTAATTTTTGTTTCAAACGTCAAAATTAAAACCACGTTTTAAATTTGAGGTTAAGCAACAAAAACATTTATTTATACTATTATTATTATTATCATATTTCTATTACCATGGCACAAGGCAAAATAAAAGTGAAAACAAATTTACCTTTAAAAAATGCAAAAAATAAAAAGCAAAAAGGCAAAGCAACAATGAGGCGTCCAAATGCTCCAATTCAACCCAAAAAAAAGAAGTTTGAAGAATCCAGTAAACTAAAACAAATGATTACAAAAACTGTAAATAAGTCTTTAGAAGCTGATATTCGTGCTATTGCTGATGATAATAACAAGATTCTGAGTGAGGCTCAAAAGGCTGTTGTGGCACACAATTCGAGGAAAAATGTTCCTGCTGCCCCTGTACTAAAAAAATAATAAACTGTTGTAATAATGATTAATAAATTATTTATATAATGTATGTTGTAATTGCTGTAAATAAATTTGTTTCATTAAATTACAAGAGGGTATTCTCATTTCAATACGACAATCAATATTACTTTCAATATTACAAAAACAAAGCATTCTCTAGAGTCTAGACGTAAAAAGTGGGTCTTCATTCTTTCATCCAATCCAATAAGTTTGAAGAATTCTGTGAATCAAAACAAATGATTACAAAAACTGTAAATAAGTCTTTAGAAGCTGATATTCGAGCTATTTCTGATGATAATACCAAGATTCTGAGTAAGACTCAAAAGTACTTGAACACAGCACGAGTCAAAACCTTTCAGCAGCCCCCTAAATTAGAAATAGTAAAATATTTATGTATTAATAGCTGTAAATAAAGTTGTCTCATTAAGTTACAAAAATGTATTCTCATTTTAATACAACTAAACCAATATTACTTTAAAAATTACAAAGACAAAGCATCCTGTAGTCATAAAAAAGGATCTTTTACTCTTTCATCAAATCCAAGAAGTTTGAAGAATCATGTGAAACAAAACCAATAATTAAAAAAATCTTTAAAAGGCTGTTGTGGCACACAATTCGAGAGAAAATGTTCCAACTGCTCCTGTGCTAAATAGGAAATGATAAATTGTTTATATATGTATGTTAATAGCTGTAAATAAATTTCTTTCATTAATTTACAAAAACGTATTTTCATTTAAATACGACAACTGATATAAAGACAAAGCATCCTGTAGTAATAAAAAATGAGTCTTTACTCTTTCATCCAATCTAAGAAGTTTAAAGAATTCTGTGAAACAAATGATTACAAAAATTGTAAAAAAAATCTTTAAAAGGCTTTTGTAGCATACAATTCGAGGAAAAATGTCCTAACTGCTCCTGTGCTAAATAGGAAATGATAAATTGTTTATATATGTATGTTAATAGCTGTAAATAAATTTCTTTCATTAATTTACAGAAATGTATTTTCATTTAAATACGACAACCTATATTACTTTTAAGATTACAAAAACATGCATCCATTAGATGTAAAAAGGGGTCATTTTTTCTTTAATCTAATCCCAGAAAACTGAAATAATTACAAAAACGTTCCAGCTGCTCCTGTGCTAAAGAAATTGTATTAAATTATTTATATCTAATATATGTTGTAATTGCTGTAAATAAAATTGTTTCATTAAATTACAAGAAGGTATTTTCATTTAAAAATAAATGAATACCCATATAACTTTAATAATTAATTACAAGAGATCCTTAAGCCCCTTGTCCAATTCAAGAAGTTTGAAGAATCTAGAAAATTAATGCTTACAAAAAGGTATTCTCATTTAAATATAACACAATGGCACACAATTCAAGGAAAAATGCTCCATCTGCTCCCGTGCTAAAGAAATAACAGTAAATTATTTATATAAAATGTACATTAATTGCTGTAAATGAAGTTGTTTCATTAAGTTACAAAAATGTATTTGCATTTACCAATTTTATTTTAAAAATTACAAAGACAAAGCTTCCTTCAGGTGTAAAACTGTGTCTTTTTTTCTTTCATCCAATCCCAGATTAGTAAACTAAAACAAATAATTAAAAAAACTGTAAATAAAATATTCATGCAGTAGCTATTGTGGCACACAATTCGAGAAAACACATTTCAGCTGCTTCTCTGTTAAAGAAATTGTAATAAATTATTTATATCTAATGAATGTTGTAATTGCTGTAAATAAAATTGTTGCATTAAAATGTATTCTCATATAAATATAACTGAAGACCCATATAACTTTAATAATTAAATACTAGAGATCCTTGAGCCCCTTGTCCAATTAAAAAAGTTAGAAGAATCTAGAAAATTAAAACAAATTATTACAAAAACTGTAAATAAGTATTTAGAAACAGATATTCAAGCTCTCTCTGATGATAACTAAATAAGAAATAGAATTAACAAATTGTTTATGGATAATACAAGTTAATTGCTGTAACTAAAGTTGTTTCATTAATTTACAATAATATTAGCATAGTTATTGTTATAACTTTTTATAACAATAAGTCAAATTATAAAAAGATGTAAAAATATCATTATCAACTGCAAATGAGGCAAATTGTGCCCTTAATAAATTACATCAAACCCAGAAACTAATTCCGACTTTTTCCAAGTATTTCTGGAAAGAAATATTTTAATTATTAATATTAAAAAAAGATATACCCAGCATCCGCACAATACAAAAAAGTGCTTCTATTTATATAACAAATTGTTCAAGTTATAAAAAAAATCTCATTTTATACAAGCGCATATTCAAAATGACTTGAGACACAAAATGTAAAAAGGCACTCCAACATAATTTTTAATCATCTTTGTCTAATATAAGTTATTTGCTGTAACTAAAGATGTTTCATTAATTTACAATAATATTAGCATAGTTATTATAATTTTTTATAACACTTAAAAAAAAATAATAGTAAAATTATAAAAAAAGATAAAAGTATCATTATCGTCAGCAAATAAAGCGAATTCTGTCCTTAATAATTTACATTAAACCCAGAAACTAATTTTGACTTTTTCCAGGTATTTCTGGATAGAAATATTTTAATTATGTTTTTATTATTAAAAAAGTGTTCTGGTTTATGTAACAAATTGATTAAGTTTTAAAAAAATCTCATTTTATACAAGCGCATATTTAAAATGACGTGAGCCGATACTAAATTCTTAAATAAATACTTTCGTCACAAAACGATACTATTTTATAATTGTTGAGTATTTTTCTTTTTGATATAAGTTAGAGATACAAAATGTAAAAAGGCACTCCAACATCCATTTGTCCAAATGCACCAACTCAATAAAAAAAAACAAAAAAAATCTATTAAACTTATAAAAATAATAAACTGTAAATCACAACTTCAGGATAAATAGTTAAGCTTAAAGGGCACAACTAGTGTGAAATTTCGAAAAAATCGATTTTTGTTTTTTTTTCATATTTCGGTAGATTACACCTTTAAAAACAACATATTAAAATTCCAAATCGATATCTTAAATAGTGTTTGAGTCACAGCCATTTAAATAGTATATATATAGTATATAGTACAACGATCATTTTATCTTTAAACGCGTTTTTCTCGAAACAGCATTTTCCGAATTTGCTGCAGCGATTACTCAAAAACGAATAATCCGATCACTATCGAATTTTTTTCACTGGTTCTACATATAGTTCTCCGTAAAATGAACTATCGATTTTTTGATCGGATCAAAAATCGAATTTTGGCAGTCGAAAAACGACCAAAATTTTGGGTAAAATTCGACTTTTTTTAAAAAAACGCCGCCATTTTGCCAATTTTTGATTAATTTTTTTTATCGTAGTTCATTTTACAGATAATATTATTTAGTTTAACGAGATTTTTTTTTTTATTTCATCCACGTAGAAGGCCGGAATCACTGCAGCAGTGAAGGGCCTTTTTTTTGTCGCGTCGTTGGACATCGACGATAACTTAAAAAATATTTAATTTTTTTCTTCAAACTATATATTCTTAAAACATGTATAAATATATTCCTAAAATTTTGAAATGATTGATGAAGTAGTTTTTTTTAAAAAAAAATCCCAAAAATCACCTATTTTTTAAGCAGTTATACTAGTTGTGCCCCTTAAGTTAATGCTGTAATAAAGTTGTATTACCAAGTCATAATAACAAATTCTGTTTTTTTTTT